TGCTTAGAAGTCCCGTAAAGTTCAAGTCCGTATGTCCTAATGGGGGCCAGGAGGGCAATGTAAAGTTTTCTTTTGTTTGTTAGTGAGAGTTTTGATCGTCTGTCGAGTAGTTTAAGCATGAAAAATCGTATATTAGAGTCTGTGCGCTTAATTCGTGTATGGTGGTTCCACGTCAGTCGTTTGTCCATGTAGAGTCCGAGGAATCGTACATGGTTCGCAATTGGGATGGGAACGTTGTTGGGGTCTACTGGTGGGAGTGTTTTCTTGTTTAGCGTAAATATTCTTTGTTGATTTGGTTTCGTTGATCTTGATTGTCAGATGGAAATTTGTTTTTAGTAGTTTAGTATGCCACAAAACGGTTCCGGAACAATAGGTGAGGCAACATGTAAGAGGCATATCTCGGAAGGCTAGGAACTCTTCTTTCTCAGCGGGCCAGAATTTAGGCAAGTTATATGCCACTTACATTTTAACTACCGTCTAAAGCAGAAACAGAAACATGCCGGCTCGGCAAGAGAAACCAGTTACAAATGCAATGTCCTTCAGGAATGTGAGCCACAAGCCCGTACACTGTATAGACATTTTGGTAATTCCGTCAAAAGAAGTGATCGAAAAGGCTTAAAAGAGAAAAGTGCTTAGCATTATGGGAAAAAAAGGTTATGGTCGTAATCATAGGGGTTCCACAATAGACCTACATAAGTCGAAGTGGAGAAAAGGTTAGAATCCTTACTTGACCATCCCCTAGAAAGTTCATCATTAAAACAATTCGGTTTTTTTAACTATTGGTTCATCATTACCCTTGATTTCTTTAATAAAAGATTTAATACTCCCAGCTAAACCTTTATTTTTCATCTTCTACCTGATGTGTTTTATGAGATTTGAAAGACAGGCACCATGAAGTACCATGATACCATGCAGTTATATGGTTCACGTTGAACAGTTATATTTTACTATAATCTATGAGCCTACCAAATGAAGATATGTTATAAAATTTTGCAACGTATGTGATTTTCCGCCAAGTGACTTTAAGCCTGATGATTAAAATTTATATTCATCGCACTTTAGAATCACCCTGCTTATCTTAAAATATGGATAATAAATAAAAACCAGTGTTGATAGTAAGCGTTTTTTATTTTAATTTTCATTAACCGTTAGCTTGTAAGTGTATAATGGGTTGTACTTTTTTTACCGTTGTCTATAATTGATTAATTAAACATATTTAATTTTTCATCCCTCCTCAGTTCAGAGGATAATTAATGAATTTTTAATTCAAATTTACTTAACTTGTGATTATTTAATTTAGCGGCGGCTTTTGATGTTGTGGTTATCGGAAGTACAATTGTACAAAAAGCTTATTCAATTGTGTAGTCAAATTAGTTTTTCCCTCCTTTTTTTAAATTATGAAAGGGACCAGTGGAGTATATTAAAACACCATGCTTCAGTTACTTGATTTTCTGAATTCCAAAACAATGATTTTTTTTCTTTTTCTTAAAAAGTTAAATTATACAATTGTGTTTAGCATAACGTCCCAACATCATTATAACTGTGAAATTAGAAAGAAACCCCAAAGGCAATAAACCTGTATTATTAACGAGTTAATCTCTCCATTAAATTTATCTTCAAAATATTCCGATTGTAAAACATTATTTGAATAGAATTAACAAGCCGCTCAAATAGTAAGTTATGATAAAGAAAAACAAACAAACATTAATAATAATTAACTCCTAATTAATTATGATTCCGTAAAATTGTTTTACCACTGTTGAATAACGTCAGGAGGTAATCGCAAAAGTACATCTGTATTTTATGGAAATTCATTGATGATGTTTACTAATGAGACGAAGAAGGACATACAATTAAAATTATGATTAATTAACCGACAACGGGCCAACAGCGAAAACAAAAGTGCAATAATAAAATCTTTAATTAACACGACAAGCAATCAGGTGAATTTTCAAAACCAAAGTTTGTTTTAACTTAATATAAAAACCAACAGGTTTAGCATATTTTTTTTCTCCAAAAGTTAGCAAGTTCTGCAATATTCTCAATTCTATTGTATTGTGAATCAATTTTAAATATTTTATGATCATATTGATGGTTATATACAGTATAGCTCATATGTTTTAATCTAACTAAATTTTCACACTGGCTTCAAGCTCAGGCAATGGTATTTTTACCTAACTACCAACAGGTTTAGCATATTTTTTTTCTCCAAAAGTTAACGAGTTCTGCAATATTCTCAATTAATTGTACATGTAATCAGTGAATCAATTTTAAATGTAATTTAATACTTTATGATCATATTGATGGTTATATGCAGTGTAGTATAGCTCGTATTTTTTTATCTCTTTAATCAAATTTTCACACTGGCTTCATGCTCAGGTAATGGTATTTTTACCTAACTACCAACAGGTTTACATATTTTTTTCTCCAAATGTTAACAGGTTCTGCAATATTCTCAATTTGTTGCACATGTGATCAGTAAATCAATTTTAATTGTAATTGAACGCTTTCTGATTACATTGACGGTTATATACAGTGTAGTATAGTTCATGCGTTTTTATCTCTTTAATTAAATTTTCACACAGGCTTCAAGCTCTGGTAACGTTTTTACCTAACTATGAAATAAAAGGAGCGGTCACAGGTCATAAATTGTGTAATTGCATTGGGTGGTCTGTGGAAGTACTGTCGACAGTGTTGACAAGCGAGTTGAAACATTCAACTGATGAGTTGTGTCAATCTGAACATTATTAAAAACCAAACAAAAATTTTAATAGGACATAACAAAATAGAATTTAAATACGATTACATAACAGAATCGCAACCGACTAACAAAATCATAAAGCAATCGAAATATTGTTATTGATTGATTTATGTAAGCTCAATGCTGCAAATTGGTACAAAATTGAGCTGAACTGCCCACCTCGGGGTATTTATTTGTCAGGGGTCAAATTTTCATATTTTTCCTTCCGCATCTGAATGTGAAGTTGGGCTCTAGAAGTTTTGAACAGCTAGGTCATTTCCACCTCTACGTCAGTAGTATAGTAGTATTTTGTAGGAAACTAGAATTAAAAATTACTAAATTTCTTCTTTATTAAATCATGATTTTTATTTTTACTAACTTAAAAAATGTATGCTAATTAATTTTTTATTGGTTCAACTTGTCATGCATCTTATTTGTTTTTCAATTAACACTTGCTTACGTTAACGATTCATATCGACAAAGCTCATAAGGGGAGGAGCGAGGACTATGGCTGATTTTGACGACTGCTTCTTTAAGATAATGGGACACGTTGCGGTTGTTGAGCAACAAAAGGTAGTACTTTTTTTTCAATAAAAAGAAATGCTGCACTGGTGGTTTTGTGAAACGAAAGCAAACTTTATCCGGTTAAACGGTCCTTAAGTCCAATTTTTTTACGAAGGTCCTCCAAGGCTGGCATGTGCGTTGAAGACGATCTTTTGTTGGGTTGACAAGAGAAGAGAAAGAAGTCAAAGACAAGAGAAAGGAAGATGTCCCGTGAACGGAAGGAAGTGAGCCCAGCCTGGAAGGTAGCAATTAGCGGGGCAAGGTTATAATTAATATAAAAAAATAAGATGCACGCTTGAGATACACTAGTGGTGGGGAATGTGGGCCGCACTAGATCCATTGTCTTGCGTGAGCCAACTTATCTGAACTCAATTAAACGTAATTAAACTTAATAATTATGCAGTTTTCATAGAGGCGCTCTCTGTATTATCTGATGCCTGAAATTTTACGGCGACGGAGCGTGTCCCGCGTCTTGGCGGGGATCTACACAAATCTCAAAGAGCACCCGAAAGGGAGGCAACAAGCTCGATAACAAGATCACAGACTATGATATCTTCCTGGTCGTTTTGCAGAAGGAAAGTTCTTCGAGATCGCTAACAAAGGGTACCCAACATCCAGAACAAATCTCCATATTAAACTTACCGGAAATAATTTTCTTTGCAACGGTAGGAGATTTAAAAAAATATCCAAATCGGATATTGAACACTGGATAACGTACATCAACGAAAGTGAGATGTCACTACATATTAGGCTTCCGGTTGTCATTGAGAATACAATCTTAATTTTTTTTAAAGATAACTATAGTTCCTAATTGCTAGGTGTGCCCGACACTCGTATATTTTGACTATTTAACTTGGCTTTTCAACCTGCATATCATATAACAAAAAAGGTTCGCAACCATAGAACAAACTTCCTTGTAAAACTTACCACATTTCTCTTGTTACCATCAACTATCTTTTTTTTTAAATAAATTTATTGGTTTATTGGCAGGCTACCGACAATGGAATCATACCAGCTACCAATGCACTGTAAGGGGCGATGTTTCGTCATCGGTCCTCCTACTCATTCATAACAACAAATATACATATACACACTGTTGGCCTATACAACAATTGTACAATTATACGTAATATAATAATAAAGATCGAAATGTTGGCACGATAAAGAAAATGTTTTTCTAAAACCTACGTCACACCAGAGCGCATCTCACGATCTCCAAATAATCATTAACTAACGGTCAATAAAAATCATACATTTTATACAATATTTACACTCTAAAGATGGGAAAACACTCTCCTTTATAAAATCGAAACAAGGGGCCACTCTCATGTCCCTGGAATGCCTTTGTATCATGTGCCGTACCTACTCGCTCCCTGTTAGAGGCCAAGGATAGCACTCCTCGGATAATTGGGACACATGGAGTAACCTTTCAAGGTGTCCGTGTGTCAATCGAGTATGGCCTTATCCTCAAAGGGATGAGCACGATACTTCCTTCCGTTTCAGACCATCCGTGGTCTTTCGCTCAGTGCATTTGACTCTCAAAAAGTAAAACTATTAAATCGGTAGGGTCAGTTTTGTAATTTTTTTAATTTTACCTAAATTAGTTAATTAATTTAAAAAAATTCTGTACCACAGTTAGTGCTGACGTAATTTGTACAACCATGTGCTTTTACCCTTTACTATTTAATCTCTGGAATTAAGAACACATGTTTTGAGTAAACTATATCATTCCTAATGTTACAAAAATGTTTCTTTATTTTTCGGTCATTGTTAATCTAGTGTTTCTTTACTTCGTATACATTCTTCACTTTAAAACATTCACTCTTACTAAAAGAAAGGAATGCGATATAAAAATCGAACCGTCGGCGAGAAGGGTCGCCATTTTCGTATCAGAAGGGCTCGGCTCTGATTTCCTTTTCAACGTGACTGCGGAAGACGGAAGGGAACGTTCTCTGTTGAGACGGGTCGTGGAAGGAGAAGGAGCCTGGGGCGTTTCGAAATGTTTTTCACAAGAAGGCTCAATGCAGGGGATCATGGCTTTACTCAGCGGCACGCAGTACGACCCTTCGATCGTACTCTACTACGCCAAGCTTGTCAGATTAAAACTGGACAACGTCTTTTCTCGGGTGGACCAAGTCTACATCATCGGAGACCCTTATTTTCCGGAAATATTCGAAGGCAAAAAGAAGAAGAACTGGCTAGTCAAAACTTGGACCCGCAAGTTTAAAGAGGAGATAGACTCGGGCGGTAATTTCTTCGCTTACGACGACTTCGCTATAGATAATCTCGGAGAATTGTTCACCGATAAAACACGCAAAACCGATAATAAAACGATTTACGTGTTCTTCTTATCTGGTGTGAATGCCTGTGTACGGCAATCCAATTTGTTCCAAGAATGTGTAAACACGCTAGTCAATTTAGACAGACAGATCGAAAAGACAGTTAGACTGTTTGAATCTTACTACAACGATTCGAGTACGAGTTTCATTTTGACGTCGGATCGGAATATGATAAAACGCTGGAAAACTGGACGTAAATCTGGCAATCCTGAAAATATCCCATTCTTGGCGTGGGGTGCGGGCATTAAAAGATTCGGTCGAAAAGGTAGCGGCCGAATGGAGATTAATAATGAAGACGTCGCTCCTCTCGTTTCAGTCCTACTCGGCAACGATAGTCCGAATAACTCGATCGGCGTCATTCCTTGGAAAATAGTAAACATTCACGAAAATCAGCTTGCTGGCGCACTTTACTGCAACGAGCTTCTTCTCAATGACATAGCCACGGTGTACGCCCAAGAGACGGGAAACAACGATTATATGGAGGCACTGCCTAACGTCGATTTGAACATAACAACACTCAGGAATCAGCTGAAGGATAAAATAACAGAGAGGAATTACTCGGAGGTCGCAGAAATATCCAAACGCTTGTTCCCAATGCACCAAGAACAAATTCGGCTTTATAAAAGTTTCTTAAAGCCGCTGATCTGGACGCTGGTTATCAACTTGTATCTTGGTTTTGCTTTTTGGACTCTGCAGAGAGCAATTTTTAATACTATAATTAAAGAAGAAGATGATACACCCAAGCTCAGTTTCTGGCACCAGTTAAGCAAGGCCAATCTAAAGCAAAGGGTTATTCACAATGCCATTTACGACATCACTGTCGCAGCTGTTGCTTGCACGGTAGGCACTTTCTTTTTCTTTAAAGGTTTCCCATTTTTCCTTCTCCTTTCGTTTCTTCTAGCTACGTTTATTTGGTGGAGGGTGTTAAAAAACGTAAAATACCTCATAAACACAAACTTTCAAAGGCAATTGGTGGAAAGCACAGGGCCGTGGATGATAGGTTCCCTGATCGGTACGATTTGGTTTGTTTTTGGCATCTCGTTCCCGTTAGTCAGACAGTTTCTCTTCGGAATATCTGTCTTGGTCGTTGTGTTCACATTGAACCCAAGGGTGGAAAATATTCTGCTCATTCTGTTCGTTGTCACCTCGGCCGTATTTGTGTTCTTGCTCAATTTCAGAGTTATGGACGAGGACATGGACACCTCGGGTCTGACCATCGGAACAATCTCCTGGATAATATCAATGGGATTTTATATATATTACAATCCAGGACCCTTACGGGATTTCGGCGTCGTTGCGTTAGATTGTACCTCCACTGGTTTAAGCCTTTGGAACGCCCTTAACATCCGCAGCATGCGAACAAACGAGCCGAAAACAATACAATTTTTAATATCCTGGATTATGCTTTCTATCGGGCCGATATTCCCCGTGCTCTCCACCCAGCACGGGATCAAAAGGTTCTGCCATGTCGGATTCGGACTGTGCGCCACTTTCATTCTTCTAAGCGAGTATAACGAAGTGACCGGCCTTCTAGTCTTTTCCACATTTCTGATGATATTGTATTGTATGGAAGTCCGCAATGCGGACATGTTAATTCTCGCCAGGGAACAGCGTGTAACAAAAAAGAGAGAACATTTAAACAAAGTAGACATAAAAATGGCCTATTTTCTGTTCGTACTTATATGGTCCGGCTACATCCTGACAAGCACCGGCAATTATCCGAAACTGTTACAACAAAAGTGGACCTCTAACTTCTTCGAAAACTTCGACCACTTGGGACCCGTAATCGCACTTCTAGCTTACAAAATGTTGATTCCAGTCGCTATCACATGTTCCATGTTCGGACTTCTTTACAAACAGCTGAACTACAGCATGAATCAGATGCTAGAATGGTTCCTTTATCTAAATAACGTAGCTTGTTTTCACCTTCTAATAAACGCGAAAGGCGAAGAATACCCTCTCGGTGAAATATTCCAGAGCATAACTAACTTAGCACTTTCACACATCATCCCGATCGCTGTGATCCTCCTGAGTAAAATACTCGAAGTTTATAATGGTATCGATTTGCAACGATTTTTTAGAAGAAACTAATTAAAAAAATTATTAATTGCACCTCAAGTTAATATGTACAGCTTTATTTTTAATACCTAATGTCGCGTAATTGTGCTTGAGATTTCCAAAAAAATAGGTATTGAGCAATATTCATGATTTTCAGACAACGAATAATAATAATAAATAATTTCTGGGCGGCGGAGCATCATATCATCTCAAGGCTCCACCGCTGCTCCGCCAAGCCGGATCGGGGCGGAATAACGAGTACCCTCCGACCCGGATTCTAGACAGAGGATATACATGATTGGGTTTGTATGTAGAAGTATGTACGTATTTATTGAATTGAGTGAATGTGAGAATGACTAGTTTTATGGAACATAAGGGCGCCGAAATGACCAAAGAAGTCAGCCCGATCAGAGCCCACCCTGGGAGTCGCTAAGGCACCAAGATAGGTGACTCCCCCTGATCCATCAGGGAAAGGGCAGAGGCCTCCTAGGAGGTCTCGTAATTCTATAACAATAAAACTTTATTAATTCAAAATGTTTACAAAACAAAAATATACGCCACAACATAAAATAACGGCATGGATAAAAACCGTCTGCCGGAGGTTGAGGCCGCAACCATCAAAAATGTATAAATAATAATACAATAATACTAATTTAAAAAAGAAAAGGACTATTGATCATAATTGATTTCCCTAATTAGATCATGACGATACGACGTAGAAATGATAAATGGTGTTGTGAGTGTGTTGATCAATCTTTTTCAAAAGATAGTTCCTACTCACAGTAGGTTGGTTTCAACGATACGAATTTCGAGTTTATAGCTCATCTGGTTGTAGAACTCAACAACTGATGATGAACTATAAGCTCAAAATCCGGATCGTTAAAAACAACTTACTAAGAGTAGGAACTATCTTTTTACAAAGAAAGTTTGGACGTGAGCGATGCAGTGAGTGCAAATCCCCAGAGCGGTTTTCAATATGAACTCCCATGGGGAGAAAATGCTGCTTCATGCTATAAGACCTGAACCTACAAAGAAGTGAGTCAATCCCGTCCAAATTTCTTCGAACCCCTAAGCACCCTACTTCGTATCCAAACTTATCAACATACAGACCGCCAAATCCCATTTGTTGTCGAAATCGAACAAGTCGATACAGACACCTACGCTCTGGACCTTCATACCAACTCCCTACTCCAACTTCCCCAACTCTCCATGACAATCCCCTAAGTCTTGAACATCCGAAGAAATCAGTCAACCAAGTCCAAATTTCTTAGAATCCCCAAGAACCGTACTCATATACAACCGCCTCATCCCCTTAGTCCTCGAAACCGGAAAAAGTTGATACAGACACCTCCACTCTGGACCTTCATACCAATCACTAGACCAGTGGTCGGCAAACCGCGGCTCTTTGACTTCTTGGATGCGGCTATTTCACTGAATGTTTAGTGCAGACACGGAGCAAAAAGTACTACAGGTGCAAGAAATGGGATTGTCTCTATTTTTACAGAAAAAATTGCAATTGCAAAAAAATTGCTCAGCAGGTTCAAGACTTTAAGAACAACAAAGCGACACTAGCCTTTGTTTAAAAAAACCTCTGGATGCCACGGTAATGTAAATTAATTTTTTGCCCTTTAATATTGATAATGGAAGCTTTGAAATGCAGTTGCTGAATTTAAAAAATAAAGGATTTTGGAGCTCAAAATTCGAGCGTCTTTAAACCGATTTACAGCTATTGGTGAAAAATAAATGTGAATTAAGATTACAGCACAAATGTTTGCTTTGAAAGATCTGACGAGGGAAGATATGTTGAGTTTTAACACCTGAATGATGATGATCAACTGAAGAAACTAACGTTTGCTGTTCTTTCCTTACTTAAGTTTACATATTTATGCGAACAATCATTTTCAAGCATGAACTTTATCAAGAGTTGATTAAGAAATCAGCTTTTCGACGAGAACTTGGAATCGTGCCTAAAATTAAAAACAACATACAAACCTGACTTACCCTTACTTTCCAGGGAAATACAAGGCCATTGTTCACATTAGTGGAATATTTGTAGTTTTTTATGAATACCTTTTATATTATTTAACTTGTTACATTAAATAAATATTATCTTTATACGATATAAGAATGATACCAGGTTTTATTTAAAGTACCTTAATTAAACTAAGACATATTCAGCAAAGGCAAGATAGAGAGTATACTTTTAATTCTAATTATTTCCATAAAAATGTCTACTAAAGCAATACTTAAGTTTAAAAAATGGCTCTGAAAAACTTCAATTTTGTATTATTGTTTATATTTGGCTCTTTTTGATTACAAGTTTGCCGACCACTGTCCTAGACCAACTTCTTTCTTCCCGAACCCTTGATGACATTGTTTCCCACTGGGGTCGCAATGTCATATAACATTGAGATTCATTAGCGGGCGCGGCTGGCAGATTAGGCCTTATCACACGCTTAGATTCTCAACTTAGGAGCGATTCACCTCCGCGCGCGGAAAATCTACTTCTTCCGCGAGGTTCGGTGTAGAAGCCCACATCATCCTATTGCAAACTGTCGACATGCCGACTTCTCCCACTTGCCCCTTCCGAGGTTGGACTAACATTGTACACTAACCAGTGCCGCGCGTAAAGAGATACCCAAAAAGTGGCCGAAATGCATCAGCCAAGTCTCCCACGCACTGCCTAGATAGAGAAGACAACTTTATCTCCCTGGGTGTAGGGGCTCCGCTAGCGTCGAAACCTCCGGATACGCTCCGACCGCGATTTTAGTGGAATCTCTAACCAGCCCCTAGAGTAGTACCATGCCTACGGTAAAGGCAACCCTGACGACCGCCACCGACAAGCACCCGCCTCCGTCCAAAGATTCGAGGGACGCCGGCAGCGTAGTCATAGCTTCTCGCTGGCTATGCGCTCTCGGAAATCCGATCCATCCGATACCCACGAAGTCGGGAGGTAATCGGAGGTCATGCGCAAGTTCTACGGTCCACGGCCACGAATGAGACACAGCCACTTTTCTACGTACCCGCCAATCCCCTAAGTCTTAAACATCCGAAGAATTCAGTCAACCCAGTCCAAATTCGTTCGAGCCACCAAGAACCATGCTCATATCCAACCGCTACATCCTATTTGTTCTCGAAACCCGAAAAGTCTTTAAATACACCTCCGTAAAATATAGTCCAAATACTTTTGATCCCGAACTCTTCCTAATAATCTTTTAAGACGCCTGAAGTACCAAGGTCCTCGCGTTTACCTCCCAAGTGAGAAAAACGAACAGTAATTTGATAAGAGTGTAATTAATGCATTACTTCTTATTACTTTTTTACTTATATTAGTTCATATTACTTTTTTTATACGAAATTTATATAGATAATAAAGTTGCTTGTAGCGCTATAAAAGGGAATGAGACCCGAAAGCCGCAGGCTGATGTGAATAATCCCAGATAACCTTCACGTATAACTAATTAAGATGAGTAAATAACGGACGGGGCGTAAAAAACGTGGAAATTCCAATGCTCGGATTTATCAAAGTTGAGACCTCCCTGCATTGTTTTTATGAATGGCTGAGAAAACCTCTTTTAAGTTCGTTTCTTATTGCGGACTTCGAATCTTGGAACACCGTCTGTTTCTTAAAGGTAGAAAGCTGCGGCGAAAAGATAAGTTGAGAAATACTGATAAGTGATAAGAATTCTGAAGATAAGATCTGAACACACAAAATCTATAGATTCCCACATCGCATTAAAAAAAAGCACCATCCTGGGTGCATATTTCAAGTGTGTATTATTAAGAATCGACCCTCCAAGTGCACAGCATACAGGTGGCCGAAAAACGATCATAAACTACCGGTTCTGCTCGTTAAACATCCACTCGTACATTGTACAATTAAGGAAATTAAGCTATTTGGTTTTTGTTATCTTCGTCACTCTACGGTTTAAAAGCTTAATCACCAAATTTCATGAATTTATGAAAGGAAAATGTAGATCACGAGTAAACAGCGAATAAGCGGTAATGTTTCCCATGTCAAATTTGTTCCACCTCCCTGTCTGAACAGCTCGGACAGTCATCTGAAACAAACAACTTTATTGCAAACACAACGTGTTTTACAATTTTTTAAAATATATTTATTACAATCTGTTTCATGGTTGTATGGTAATAATACAAATGACATCTTGAGTCCTCATGGAAATTTTCTTCATCAGCAGTCTCTGGTGGGATTATAAGGGTGGATTTTGTTGAATAAGGAACGTGCAACTCGGTGAGGTGAGTTTATTGACAAAAAATGGAAAATGTTTTTGGGTCTGTTTTGCGCACGTCAGGGATTTTGAGGTCATTGTGAGGTTGGAGACGTAATAAAGAGCCCTGTGCTTCTGAGGACTTTGGATGGGAAGGTTTAGGGGTACCCCACAGTTCCAATCCGTTCAGATCGGTTATTGCCTTGTAAAATGTTTGTTTTTTGTTGAAACGACAGATTTGCGTGACAATAGACTTTAGAATGATACGAAATTTTTGTTTAATTCTGGTCGTTTTAGTTGGTTCCATGTTAGTCTTGAAGCGGCCCATAGACGATCAATATTATTGCACAATATTTTGGGTTGTGCAATTTAATTGATCGTGGGTAGACGATATTGAAAGTTTGTGCAATACATTGTATGATTGACGAAAAGTTGAAAATATATTGTACAACCTGGAAAATATTGCACCGTCTGTTGGCATTATTGCGCAATATCAGTCAGTTTGTGAAGTATCAACACATGTGGTACAGTTCATTGCACAAACATAATTTTGAACAATATTATTGAACGTTTAGGGGCAACCGTCAAATTATTGTGCAATCTATATTGTACAATAATATTGACCGTTTACGGGCCGCTTGAGTTTGTTTTTTAAACATGCAAAGAACCTTTACGTAAAAAGGAACTTCATTTTTCCATAAGGCAGTTTGTATTAGTATCGTACTCTTCTCTTTCTTGTGTGTTTTGTGTCTTATTTCATTCTTGTGCTTTCAATAGTTTTCTACATAAGAAATCTTTATATCAATGAACTTTAGAAAATTATTG